ATTCTTTTAAATTTCCCACACGTGGGTTTCCCTTCTCACAGTCACCGCGCTGAGCTCCCTACTGCCTCCCAGCAGGCCAGAGCCCCTGCCCGCTGCCTCTCTGGGCCCCTCTCCACCTCCTCCACCCTCCACACTCCACCCGCCTCCACCTCCTGAAAACCTATCTCCTAATTGCTCTTTTGGGCCAGCTCAATAGTTTCTTCCTCTGTGAGGTTTCTTTGACTGTCCTGGGTGCCCACAGCCTTTTGTTCCTACAACTAGCAACAGCACTGTCATGAACCACACACCACCAGCTGCCTCGGATCTGACACCCATCTAGTTATGAGCACGGGTAGGGACTCAGGATTACCCCTCAGTGCTTTCCCAGAGTCTGGCACAGTGCCTGTTCAGAACAGGTATTCAAATGTTTGCTGAAGCTAACAGAACTGAACGCCTAACAGGCGTACATCTGATTTGCTCAAACTATGAGTGAACACCTCCTGCTGCACCACTGAGAATTAACCCATAGCAATGATAGAAACTACCACATGGTCAGCTCTTAGTCCCATCAGTAGTGGGTGACAGTGATGGGGATAACCTGAGAATTGTTAATATAGGTATTTTCACTATTTTAGGTAATGTAAACATACAGTAAGTGTGATTTATGCAGTGCTAAAAACTCAAAACCAAAATTATCTCTCCTACTGATCTGTTACAGGGCCAAAAACGCTTAACAGTAACTTGAGATTCCTTTGAATGTCAATTTAATCATAACATGAAATTTCACAGACAGCACTGTACTCCATCTAACATATGAGTGTTCAATGATCAATTCATTCCACAGATATTTACTGACAACCTACTATCTGCCAGGCATTACAAGCCTGAATTCTACACACTACACATTTGTAATGACTGCGTAAGAAGACCTGGAAGGCTTTCGAAGGCTGCGGAGGCCAATACAATGGTTGTATTATCCTCTAAGCACTTGACCAGTTCTGAGAAAGGACGCTGTGTCTCTTTCTGCTGTCCCACACCAAGAGCAGTGGAGCAGCTGGCTTCTGGATGGTCAAGAAACGCAGAACCAGCCTCACCCTGAAGTAGAGTAGAAAGAAATAATAACTGTCGTGATCTAAATTCACTTAAACATCTCTCTTCTGTCTCTTCACCCACGGGGTGGTGGAATGAGCCATATGCGGGCTGACTAAAGTCAAAGGAGACGACTTTCCTCTTCCCTCAGACCCTGCGCTATGCACAGTGTACCTCTTCCATCGCTTTCCAACTGGAAGAGAAAAGAATCCTCAGGGAGTAGGATACAGGGCAAGGAATTTCTGACGAAAGGAAAGTTTTGGGAAAAGGTTTGAAGAGGAACAGAATATACCACCCCAAAATATGCCTCTTTGGCATAGGGTTATTTTTAAGAACCGGTAGACACAGGAGAAGCTCTGAAAACTGAGTAGAAATTACCTTTTTGTAAGAGATATTTATATTTACAAGCGAAACCTCTATTTGTAAGTGTCCCCCTCTCTATACCAGGAAGAAAAGGATGACTCTAAATCTTTCGAAACTCGTATCAGTGGAGAAGGCAAGGATGTAGATCTGCATAACAGCCTTACCCTTGTTTACTGTGCTTTTCCTGGTCACCTCCCGTAACTGGCTCCCCGCCCCCAACATCTTCTTTTGTCTTTAGCTGGAGACAGTATTTAACGTGATGGCTTGGGCCACTCTGGAGTTACTCAGTTTTCCTGGGTATCTCCCAAGTATACAGGAGGTATTAAACTTCTGTGTTTCTCCCCTGTTCATCTGTCTTTTATTACAGGGTGTGTCTCAGCCAAGAACCTGGAAGGGTAGAGGGGAAATTACTTTTCCTCCCCCAGAGGTTCATTACCTTTCTTAGGAACAGATCTCACAGGATTATCTCAGAATGAATGAATTAATTAATTAATGTAAATTGTTTCTCCCTCTTTTTAAATGTATGGTCCATTTTATTAATATATTGCATTAATGGTTAATAAAATGCTTATGTTTAGTAATCATAAAATTCCATTTATGTTTGTAAAAGTCTCTACAAATGAAGAAGAAAAGTCTTTGTAACAAAGCAAAACTAAATTTTTCCATTTCAGACACTAATAGTTCTACATGGTGGTAAGCTAACTTCCCAGCTAGTAAGAAAAAATTTACAATAAATCATCAGAAAATAAAACTGTCTATAAAGAAACTTGAATTTGGGTAAGCACCAAAAATCAAGGACCATAACTGTTAAGATCTGAGGAGACCATGTTCCCCATCTGCGCTGGACCCTCTTAGTTTATGCCTATTATTCTGGCATAATTGTTAAGTGTGCCCACTCCCACTCTCAAAAATGGTGCAGTTTGGACAATAAGTTATACATTACTCTATCTGGAGATAGGAAGATTCCTACACAGTCTTTGACAAAGAAAACTTGCAGGTTCTCAGAAACACTAGTATAACAGAGGTGCTTTGCACAATATGCTTTTAAACTCACCAATTTTGAAGGAGTTAACCAACATTTTAACTTTCAAAGCTGTAAAGTAACAAGACCCAATCAACACTGAATATTGATGAAATAAATATGGAGCTCTGCCTTGCAGCCTGTATCTGGGAACTTCCCTCTCCACCTCTACCTCCAATCTAGGGATCCTGAGAATAGCACAGTGATTCAGCATTTCTACGGCATTCATTAAAATGTGCTGGAGTGCAATGAAATCAGGGGAGGAAAAAAGGTACATAATACAGATATTAAAATCAATACTTTTTTTATAAAAGCAAAAATGATGAAATTCTATACTTTCTTACTGGAACATTTGTAAAGCCGCTGAACTGACAAGTACCTCTCATCACTATTATTAGGCAAGTCATCCTCAGATACAGCAGAAAGCATATAGAACACTCTGTCAACTAGTTCAGGAAATGCTTTAAAACAGAAGAGGGAAATCATGGAACACAGAGGGAAATTCCAGGGAACCCATCATATAAGAACAACCCTGTTTACATCTGCACGGAGCACGTTTTAGAATCTTGCTCATCTTGATTTTGTGTCTCCTGGAGGTCAGACCTCATCTTGTTCATCCTTGTACCCCTTATCTCTTATCTCTGAATCTTTAGCATACTACTTTGCACGTGAGAAATGTGCAACAAATGTTTGTTGAATTAAACTAATAAGAAAAATGTTTTCAAATATAATTTCTGTGTAAACATTTTTTTTTAAATAAAAGAAACCCAGCCACAACGGGGGGGTGGAAGTGGAGGGGCAGAATCACTCCAACAAGGAGTATGCGTCCCCTCGTGAGAAACTGGTTCCTCTACATGAGTGGTGGGTGAGGTTTTAACAAACCTCATTATCACAGAAATTCAGGTATATTGTAGTCAAACCATGTCCCACCAAACAAAGCAACCACATAAGGCTGGACTAGAAGACAGGCGTTAGTCATCGCCTCCAACTCGTGAGTTAGGGAAAAGTTCCACTGAAATTTCTTTCAAGTCTCAGATCAAGATGGTTTGAGAATTCTTTAAAATAGGCTTTGAGGCCACTTTGTAAAATTTCCTCCAACACCCTGCGCAAAGGCACTGGAGTTTGAGCACTTGCCACTTAACCATAGAAGGCCTCACTAGTTAGGAATGCCATAAGATGGGCCTCGGTGCATTTATCAGGAGGGCCTTGGATTCTTCTTCCTTAAAGACACCACCTCCTCCTTCTATGGACAAGACAAAGGGTAGACATGATCCAGGGGTCACCCACTAAGTCACACAGGGAAAGGGGACAAGAGAGACCCATGCATCTCAGCCAAGGTGGGCACAGCCCTTCACAACACAGTGAAACAAAGTGAACTTCTCCCATAACAGTTAACACAGAGGAAGCATTTTCTCAGAAATCTAACTTGTAAAAAATAGTAAAAATTAAATCTCCAGGCCTCTTGAATTTTATATTAGCTGTTTTATAATCCTGGGAAAGTCACCTAAAAGCCTTCAATTTCTAACTCCCCATTTGTAAAATGGGGATAAATACTGTTACCACTTACCTATATTTTAGAAAACTAATTAAAAAATGATGTAAAGCACAGATACTTTTCCTAAATTCTAGATGTTTAGACAGTTACTGCTCTTCTCAACTGAACAGCTATAGTCCCAAGACTCTATTTTCTGCTCCTGATAAAGAATAGAGGCAGTAATAACCCACCGCATAAATCTGCTTGTGGTCCAAAATATGATTAACTCCAATAAAGAGTAGTAGCAGGAAAAGAGGTCCCTTAAACTCTTCGGATCGTAAGCACTTTCATCTTCTGTTGAATGCCTTCTTAAAAATCACTGCCACTCTCTGAACCAACCAGAAAGTAAAGCAACTGTTCACAATGAATGGAGATAAAGTCCTGAAAGACTATGCTGACCAAAACTGCTCTCTACATTATATAGTTTGTTTATATTTACCATAATCTTTTAAAATGTCAAATTGTTTACCTACTGAAAATATAACCGGAAAAAAAAAACGTATTTTTTCCCATCAATCAATTAAAGAAAGAAAGAGGTTGTGTATATTTAAACACTCAATTTCTAAGTGAAAGACTGATGGGGAATCTGCAGCCCAACAGCCTCTTGCAGCAATCTTCCGTGTGCAGACAGAAGCAGGTTCCATCACGGGAGGCAGACTGCTGCACCCTCACATAAAGCCTCACAGATACAAGTCAGGACCACAAACATACTCACTTAGCTACTGTTCAGTGTCCAATGCACCTGAAAGATACATGGACCACATTTCAGCTGTTCAACTTAGAAGGCCATAAGAAAATTCCAATTCCAGGTTTGAGTCAGAGAAGAGAAACAAACAGCATTCCTATCCCAGTAGATCCCAGGTTAATTTCCTCCAGTTTCTCCCCCATCATAACATTAATTGGTTTTCTAATAAAACGCTGCAGTAAAATTTGTGAAATCAGATTCTGGCAGAAAATCAAGTCAAAGGAAGACTCTTCATGGCAGCCACTTTTGCCTGCCCAGCCCCTGCCTACCTTGTTATGTTTTTGCTGGTGTCTTGTCTTTGTGTCAAGAACATGGTAGGGGCTTTCCGAGTCTTGGTTGATGTAATACACCAGTCTTGAAGGCAGCGTGATCTCTTTCTGAATTGCACTGTTGGAACTGATGTGACCACTGCTATTCTGTTGCAATGTGTTGTCTTCATCTGCTAGGACTCCCAAATTTTTTTCTGCAGTTTCATTCCAATGTGGAGCTGGGGGTAGGGGGCGAGTGGCATAAACATACACAAACACACACATACATACCCTATAAATACATAAAGTACGAAAATGTATTTTTCCATTAATTGCAAAAACAAAGTTTTCTATTTGTAAGCAGGTAAGAAGTAGAGACACAGTAAAGTAAGTTATTGCAACAACGAAACAGCCTGGATAGGTTAACAGCCCATAAGGCTCATACAAAAATCAAAATGTAGTTTATTTTGATTCATGTTTTATATGTACATTTCTAACTAGTCTCAAATCTATCCTTCTAAGGATGGGGAGGGTGGGGGCAGAAAGGACTTGAAGGAAGAGTCATTAAATGAACATGCTCAGGGGTTCTGACCCTCATCTCTGCCCATTCTCTGAGTCTGCAGAAGCTCAATGGGACTCTGACCAGGAGCAACCCAGCTGAGAGCTAAGGGCGCTCCTAAAACAACTCAATCCATGCTCAATCCATGGGTGCGGAATGCTAATTGATTCATTTAACAAAATGGACAATTCCCTTCTCTTTTAACTTTGAGACGAGCAAAAATTCTTTGCCATAGAGGGATGCAGATGCTGGCAGCTCTCCAATTCCTTTTGATTTTCCTGCCAAGCCAGCTTTCCGCCTTCACTGATTTCCGATCATCAATGTACTGAACATTATATGAACTGTTCATTATAATGACAAGCACTTTGAAAACTTACAAACCAAAGGTTTATGACCCCGAAGTTCCCCTCCCCCACCTGAACTCCAACAGCAGCGAATGAAGCGAGGAGGCAACCTGAGGAAACAACACAACCCGCTACAATCGTTGCATCCCCTCGCGTTCACATGCAGGCTCCACCGCCCGGGAAGCCACTTGCTCCCTCGCTGCATTTCCCGTCCACCGGTTTCCCCTCAGCCAAGTGGCACTGAGATCGCTGAGGGACCCCGCATCCACTAAATGCCCTCCAGTGGAACCGACAGTTACTGGAATGGGTTTCTAGTGAATGCAATAGAAATGGACTTCAAAAAGTGAACTGGAAGAAACAGGGATGTGGGAATGAGCGAGGTGGAGGGGCAGGCAGGGAGGCTCGGAGAGGCCGGGCCCGGGAGGCGTCCCGAGCGCACGGACCCGCGCACCCTTCGCTTTCCTCTGCAGGGCCCCGCGCGCAAGGCAAGGCAAAGGCACCGGGGCCATACCCACCGCTGGGCGCAGCAGCCCCCCAGGCGCGGGACCGGGACGAGGCGGCGAGCGGAGGCAGCAGGACAAGGACGAGGAGCAGGCGGCAAGGCGGCGCGCGGGCCAGGGCGCGGGCAGGCGCCG